AACCGCAGCTCCAGAGCTGTACAGCAGTAAAAGCACAGAACACTCCAGTAGTGGTGAACACCATATTGTCTGGGACACTACAACCCCCTCAGGCGACTACCCAACTGAATACACCCCAGCCTGCCAATCTACACGCGGCATTCACAGAAGAACAAATAAAACAGATGATCACCATTATGATAGTGACTTTCTCTACTATAATAAAGAAACAGGATACCAGCACCGAAAATATAATAAATGCAGTTATGACACAGCTCACAGAAAAGTTGCAGGAAGACCAGACCCCCAAAACTCCACAACTACAAGTGGAACAGTCGACCCCCTTGAGGAGGTATGTTGGTGGTCACACTTCTTCATGATATATCCCTGGCATCATGTTGAATGTTTCCATCATGTCCCTCACCTATCTCGCAGTACGTTATTAATGGGTTCTTCAGCTTCTTCAAGTTTCCTCGTCCTACTCTGAGTAAGGTTAACTGTGTGGATGTTTGTCTTCTTGTGGTAATATATTGCAGTGTCGTAATCTCAGTGTCTATGGGTTTTTTATGGTCAAAATATATAAAAGGTCAGAGTCACATCAGTAAAGCAGCATCAGTGGGTGAGCATCTCGTTCTACGTCTCATTCCTGTCATAATATAGACTAAGGAGGCCTTGACTCTTACACTTGTGAGCATGGGGCCAAGTCATGCCCCTGACAGCGAGATTTACCAGCCACTCACTAAGCTAGACTTACCGGCCACTCATTATGCTAGACTTATTAGCCAATCACTATCCTAGACTTATTGGCCACTCAGAGAGCTTGACCTACTGCCCACTCTACATCCAGGGCCATCTATAAAAAGAGTTACGCCAAATTTGTCCGAGCGCTAGGTTTACAAAATGGAGCCTAGGAACAATTACTCTAGGAAAAACGTAAAAAAAGAAAACAAGAAAAGAATAGTCCCTAAAACATGCATCATCTTGCCCTCCTAATGTGTGTGTGGCTCTTCCTATGACGTCGATCAGGATAGGTTAAAGAAACTTAACTTGCATTCCCTAGAAAGACGAAGAGTGCTGGGAGATATGATAGCAGTATTTAAGTGGGTGAAAGGAATCAATAAAGGGGATATAGATAAAGTTCTTATAATATCCGAGCAGGATAGGACTCGGAGCAACGGATTCAACTTGGATAAGTTTAGGTTTAGGAGGGAGATAGGAAGAAACTGGTGCACAAATAGGATGGTGGACGAGTGGAACAAGCTTAGCAACTTTGTAGTAAGTGCGGGAACTCTGGAAAGTTTCAAAAGGAGGCTAGATAGATTCATGGATGATAGAGAGTGGTAGTAACTCTCTACAGAAGCTGCCATGCACAGGCCAACCGGCCTATTGCAGACTCCTTATTTTCTTATGTTCTTATGTTCTTATGGTGTGCAAAAAAGGGGTCTTCACATGAATAAGGCATGGCGAAGTAAGGGACCTCACAGCAAATATGTTGAAAAGAATCTGTCGTGATGTTAGGGTAGAACCGACCCTCCTTCCATTGGACGGTGAGAATTTCCAACATAGGACTTCAAACACATCCAACGAAGTTGTGTTGACGTCAGTGCCCGAGGATTCTGGACGCGGGGACAGCGAGCTTTCTTCGACATCAGGATTTTTTATCCCATGGCCGCATGTCACCGTAACTTAGCTCTCGATGTTGTACGCAGGAGGAACGAGAACGACAAGATAAGGGCATATGGGGAGAATTCTGAACGTTGATCAAGGCAGCTTCACTCCTCTGGTGTTCACAACCTCTGGTGGGATGGGACCAAGTGCAAGATGCTTCTACGCCAGACTCGCGGAGGTGATCTCCGAACAGAAGCAGCAGGTGTCGACTGTCCTTCTCTCTTCTTAGGTCTGCTTTGCTCTGCCTCAAGGGAACGAGAACATCGGCCCCAAAGCCGACAACAGTTGCAGATATTGACTACGAGGCAACAGTCACTGAATGCCGCATAGATCTGCGGCTCAACTATCAACACAGCTAGGGTAGCTACTTTGTATTAGGATAATTAATTTTAAGGTAATAAAATGGTGGCGAAGGTGTGGCTATTGGGGGAGGCTGGAGGCCACGTTTAAAAAAAAAAAAGTAGTAGTAGTAACAATAGTGTACTCTCTCAGAGCTTTGCCTTCTCTATACCCCAGCCGGAGTCTCACCATCTTTCATCTTCCACATCCTCAACCAAGAGCATAATATACCTGGTAACACTGCCACGCGTCATACCCAACGACAGACAGGTGTGTAAGTTCTCAGCACCAACAGAAATAAAGAAGAAACTCCCCATAACCCCCAACACCACACACCCAACCCCCACCCCACCAACACCGACACCCCACACCCCCACCCCACCAACACCGACCCTCAACACACTCCCACCCCACCATCACCGACCCTCAATACCCAACACCGACACCCACCCCACCCACCAGCACGGTATCACTTTGCCCACCCCCACCAACACCAGCACCCACACCCACCAACATGACACCCACCAACACCGACACCTTCACCCACCAACACCAGCCTCACTTTTACCCAACACCGACACCCCACACACCCACCAACACCGACCCTCCACACACCCCACACTAACCACCGACACCCACACTAACCCCTGTACGCCCAATCACCCATCGCCGCCCACCCCACCCACCGACCCTCAACACCCCCACCCACCAACACCGACCCTCAACCGCCCCACCACCAACACCGACACCCACACCACCAACGCGCAAACACCCATTACCCCACCAACACCGACCATCGCTTTACCCGCCTTCGACGGATTTTACCTCCCCACCAACGCAAATATCAACACCCCCACCCGACCTCGCTTTACCACACCAACACCGACACCCACACTACCCACCAACACCGCTTTAACCCCACCCACCAACACCGACACACCCCACCCATGCTTCTGCCCCCACCTGTTTAACCCCCACCCACGCCAACCCATCAGCTTTTACCACCAACACCTCGCTTTTACCCCACCAACACCGACCCTCAACCGCCCCCCCACCAACACCGACACACCCACCCACCAACATGCCAATCACCCACCCACCAGCACCATGCCAATCACCTGTACCGACGTCCCCCACACCCAACATGCCCCCCACCCACCCAACCTCCACTCCCAACTCCCCTTAAAGTTTGTGAGTTAAAGTTGGTTTTCACTTTTTGTATTTTCACCGAGTAACTTATGTGGTTATTTATTTTTTTTGGGGTGGAGCTTTATTTTCTCTTTATGGTTATCAGGAATCTTTCTTTAGGCTTTCTGTGATCTTATTTTCTCCTCTCTCTTATTATTTTGGTTTTTTCCTCTGTTTGATCATCGTGATTCTGTGATTGTCTGTTTTAAGTAATAATTCTCTATCTATCTATCTATCTATCTTCGTCGCTTTTGTAGATAAATACAGTGTTACAGGTGAGGGAACATTAAATTTTTAGTCTCTCTCTCTCTCTCTCTCTGTTGCTAACCAAACATTGATGGTAGTCCTCTTCACGAATACAAGCATTATTTCCCCATTACCGAGGCTCTAAGAGGCTGTGTTGTAGACTTTAGCGTCATAATGAAGGTACACTTAACCTCGACAGTGGACTGAAAGCTCTTAAGAAAACAAGACTTTAAATGAGTTATAATGAGTTTTGTTTAGTGTATTGGTGTTTTACAAGGCTTTTATTTTAATAGAGTCCCGTATCAGCGTTATTCCGTGTATTATGACTAGTAATTAAGGGTTATAATACCTTGCTTTCCAGGTTAATTAGAAATAAGTGTGTAAATAAGGAAATCATTATTGGAAAATATTTAATTAAGAAAATGTAATAATTTATGTCTTGAAATATTTCTTGATTATAAAAGTAAATAAAGTAGATTAATATGTGATTAGTTATGTAAATGTTGATTAAAACAATAATAATAAAATGTGTAAACATGAACTTCCCAAATTGCCTTCATTATACAGACCGATCTACATAGTGATCGTAAAACGCAATTTAAATATCATAGTAATATTACGAATTTTTTGCTCAGATAAGACAGTGAAAAAAATACAAACATTATTAGCAATGCATATACTCTCTCTCTCTCTCTCTCTCTCTCTCTCAGTGATAAAGCCACTTCATCCTACCACCTCCTCCACCCCCCTAACACGCAGAATCCCTCCAGATCCTCTCTACTAATTCCCTTCATCCCCCCTACCACCCCCTCCATCCCCCTACCACCCTCCATCCTCCACTAATTCATCCCCTACCACCCTCCATCCCTACTAATTCTCCATCCTCTACCACCCTCCATCCCCTACCACCTCCATCCCCTACTAATTCTCCATCTTCTCTAACATTCTCTCCATCTCTTACCAACCCAATGCATCCCACACTCCCGAGAAAAAGAAACAGATTTAACTAACAGAAAATTCGTTTAGATTTTTTAGCGGAAAAGGATCAGAACAAAATAAATGCACAGATCGCTTTAGAGTTTAGAACTTATAAAAAGAAAGGCGGTATCCATTTGACGGTGAATATTAGAAAGGGGGAAGTGGGAGGGGGGAGGGCAGGGGATACAGAGGGGGAGAATGATGGAGAAGACGATAAAGGGGGTAATAAGAGGAGGGACGATGGTGGGGAGAGGGAGGAGGTGATTCAATGAGGTGATTACGATGTGTAAGATTTTTATATATATTTTTAAAACAGTGGAAATATAGTGTTTTAGGTCAGGGAATATTGCAGTTTTGTTTCCTCCTTCATTATCTCTCTATCTATCTCACATTTCTCTGTCTTTTTTCTCCCTCTCTTTCCCTCTCTATTTTCTCCTCTCTTTCTCTGTCTCTTTTCTCACTCTTCATTTCTCTCTCTCCCATGAAGTACACCCTCTCTCTCACACCCTCCCACACCCAACCAGCACCTGCTACACCACCCCCCCCCCACACCCTCCTCTTAGACAACACTGAACTAAGCATTGATCATGGGGGCTACTCACGCAGGATCTCCTTATGAAGGTGTCCCAGCTTGGAGTACATCGACCACAGCCTCGTCATGTTGTTGAACGGGTACTCTGGGATCAGGGCCTGAGGGATGTGTATTTAATATTTAGAAAGTTTATTAAAAGATACCACGACGAACACAGATTTGAGGCATTGTGTTCTGGAGTCTGAGTGTGGCATAAATATTGTATTGTTAGGTTAGGTTAGGTTAGGTTCCCCCTCCTCCTCTTCTTCCCGAGACTGAGAAAGTGGCAGCGATATTTGCAGAAGAATTGTTTATGTCTCAATTCTGCTCTGTTTACCTGCCAGGGGAAGCCAAAACAGTTAGGATAAAGGCGACTATCTCGGGCTATTCATGACAGTTATCCATCACCTGTTATTACTTAGTGCTTCATTATCTGTCTGACCCCTCACCCCCCCCCCTACCCCCTCCCCCGCACCACCACCGAGGAGCACAACAAAGGAAGATAATATATATATAGTCAGACACTCAGTCATCCTCACACTACCAAGGGGTGATCAAGAGATATATTAGGACCCGTGACCTGAATGCCAAGTCCAGGCCCAAAATGTAGTGCCAGCCTAACTATTGCTTCATGTTGTCTCTTGTCCTATATGACTGGCACCTGACTGGCACTTGAGAGAAATGGCACTTGAGTGGCACTGGACGGAAAGGTGTTTTTATTCTCCCCTGCAAGGAGATTGGCTGTCTAATCCTCTCTCTGGTGTTCTGGTGGGAAAATATCCAGCTTTTATTTATTATTATTATTATTATTATTATTATTATTATTATTATTATTATTATTATTATTATTATTATTATTATTATTATTATTATTATTATTATTATTATTATTATTATTATTATTATTATTATTATTATTATTATTATCATTACTATTATTATTATTATTATTATTATTATTATTATTATTATTATTATTATTATTATTATTATTATATAATTACCATAAAACGACAACAACTATCATTAATCCCCATAATTCAGTTCCCTTAAGATATATTTCGTGATTCCAGTCCAATGGCCTAGTTACTGATGCATAATATTTTAATGGGAAAAGTTTACCTTAAGGAGAATTACTCTTATCATTTTACCAGGGATAATGACGTCGATCCCTGACTACGATGGCTTAATTTTCATATATATATATTTTTTTACATTAATTAAGGTAAAGCTATCATGATTACGAGGCAATTTATTTTTTTTACTAAGGTTAACGTGGAACCAATACTTCCATGTGGTAATTTGGTGTGGTGGGTGGAATCGTAAAGTTCCAATGTGGTGACGTAATTTGACCTGGTTGGTGGTATCGTAAAGTTCCAGTGTGGTGACGTAATTTGGTCTGTGTAATGACATAAATCCTCCTGTGTACGACCCCACCTCCACTCACGACCCGTCCCTATTTACGACCCATCCCTACTTACGACCCATCCCTACTTACGACCCATCCCTACTTACGACCCAATTCTCACTCACGAGACCCACCCCTACTTACGACCCTACCTCCACTTACGACCCACCCCTACTTACGACCCTACCTCCACTTACGACCCACCCCTACTTACGACCCTACCTCCACTCACGACCCATCCCTACTCACGACCCGTCCCTACTTACGACCCATCCCTACTCACGACCCATCCCTACTTACGACCCATCCCTACTTACGACCCATCCCTACTTACGACCCATCCCTACTTACGACCCATCTCCTATACACAGCCCATCACAACCAGTCACTCTCCCTTCAGCACCAAAATGGAGAAATCTCATTAACACTGAAATCCCATTTGTCAAGGGGGTGTGGCCTGAGTCAAGTGGGGAGACACTCGAGTTTACACCTTCAAGACCTTAGTTCCATCCCTGTGACCTCGCTCTGGAGTACTTAAAGTTTGTCTGTCTGTCCTTTTATCTCTATCTATCTATCTATCTATCTATCTATCTATCTATCTATTTATCTATCGAATCACTTGAAGATTAGGCACCCTAGCTTATTTCACTTGATGATTAAACACCCGAGTGCTAACCTAATCTACTAACCTAACTTAACCTAACTTATCTATCTATCTATCTATCTATCTATTTATCTATCTATTGCATCACACATCTGTTTCATTCTTTTTTCATTTACCTTTTCTCTGACCCCCTCTAAGTATAAGAACTTCTGATTTTCTCGTAAGATGATGCAAAAAATTAAAGAATATCGAATTTTATGACTCCTCTATCAGTGGTCACCTGCTTACACGGTCACAATCATGGATCATCGTTCACTAAATCTGTAACTTTCGCTTACTAAGTCTCGTTCTCTGCATTGGACAAGAACCGTTAAATGATTATGGGAGACACACACACACACACACACACACACACACACACACACACACACACACACGCTGCTAGGATAAAGAGATTTCCACTGCAAGTTTCCATTATTATTGGTTAAAATCCTCAGAATCCCAGTCTATTCCCTCCAGGGGTGATAAGTTTAACTCAAGTCCCGACACTACACACAGACATTACAGTATTGACTTAACATAACGTACCCACACCGACCAAGACCTTAGTAAGCGAAATTGCCACGAATAGAGTGCCCACAGTAATTCATCACTGGTCAATTCGTCGCTGGTCAATTCATCACTGGTCAATTCGTCACTGGTCATTTCATCACTGGTCAATTCGTCACTGGTCAATTCATCAGTGGTCAATATTATTCATCAATAGCCAATTTGTCACCAGGTAATATCGTCACCAGGTATAATTATACATTTGAAGTTTCTGTTTGGTGTTGGTTATCATAGAGGCCTTAACTCCCCCACTGCGTCAAAATCCCAACCTTGAATAGACTTGTTATTGTTTTGTCTTTATTCACAAACAATTTAATTCAGTATAAAGTAAATAATAAATAATGTATACAGTCAGTCACAACTACTCTAGGAACGGGATTGACAATTGTACTCATGGGTTAAGACATTTTGATGAGGTGATTCAATGTACTCTGGGTGGGGGAGGGGGGTGATATCGTATTTAAAGAGTTATCATTCCATTAATTTAAAAAGTGATAAAATGATAAATCACAGATACTCACCCTGTCCAGTATGTCAGCGCTCACTATTCCGAAACAGCTGATTTCCACCTGACCATCTTTGTCGTCACACTCACATGGCCAGATGTCCTGAGCTGGCACACACAGGCTCTCACTCACATCATCGTTTTCTTCCGTCTCCTCCTCCTTCGCCTCCTCCTTCGCCTCCTCTTCTCTGATCACCGTCAGATCTCCATAACCGTCCCCCTGGAGTAGCAGCTCTGAATCTTTTTCCCTCAACGCCTCGACTAAGTATTCCAAAGACATCCTCCGCCTCTTCCACTTCTCGTCCTTCCTCCAAACTCTTTTTTCGGGGTAGTTCATGACGCGTATGTTCTCCAATACTTTATAAGATCCTGATTTTATGGCGTCATTCAACTTTTCCTCAAACATCTTCTGCGCCCACCACTCATCTTCATCTTTTTTCCATTTCTTCTCACTTGGGTTACTCCACACTCCTTCTGTAAGCTGGTCCTCGTAAAGTTGCTTCGCTCTTAAGATATATTCCCACTGTGGTTCATAGCCGCCCTGTATCGACCCTTCTCCTTGGTCATCGTCTCCCGCACCTGATGTCTCTGACGCCGTGACCAGTATGGCTGCCGTCAGGGCAACTAGGAGACGATGTGACGCTTTCATCTGCAAGAACAGACTTGTTATTTCGGTGTGTGTGTGTGTGTGTGTGTGTGTGTGTGTGTGTGTGTGTGTGTGTGTGTGTGTGTGTGTGTGTGTGTGTAAAATGCCTTGCACTTATGTATATTTTATAACTTAGTAATTAAGCTGTATGGTTTTGTTTTACAGTTTACATAATGACGGAGATGGGCGGCTCCGAAGCTGTCATGATGAAATATACAAAATATACTGTCATATGCTGATCTCATTGTTCAATATATGTATACCGGATATACAGTATATCGTTTGTTTACTTAAGGGATAATCATCATATCACACTTTAAAACGTTATGGACTCTACTGCAAAATCGGCTTAACTTATTTACACCAAATTTATAAGTCTATTGGAATTATTGCATAATTATACAGTACAGTACAGTACAGTACAGTACAGTACAGTACAGTACAGTACAGTACAGTACAGTATAGGACAGTAAAGTACAGTACAGTACAGTACAGTACAGTACAGTACAATATATGATAGTTCATTTTATTTTATTTCACACGTGTTTACTGTTATGCTATAGCCAAACGTTATCTGAATTAGGTTAGGTTAGGTTAGGTTAATTTAGGTTTGGTTAGGGTCATCAGGTTAATACAGTACTTGGGAAAGTACTGTAGGATCTATACGTTGTACACCTGAGTTCTGATATACTGTATATTGAAATTATCGGCAAGTGATAAGTAGCAAGATAATACCTTACCTTCATACTTAATAAATATTGTGTATAGATAAGCAAAATACGAACTGACTACCAATAGAAAAATACACACAAAGAAAAAACAAATACATAAACACATAACAAAGAGTGTAAACAAAGACACGTAATAAATGAATAACAAAAAACAAAGAAATGCCTATAAATATTAACAGTTAATATAATTGTTAATAAAATGAAAATAATTCTGCATGTGGAAATGAAACAAGTACACAAAATTTGAACCCATGAAACTGAACCCCAGAACCCTGAACCTTTGAGACTGAATCTTTAAAACTGAACTTCAGAACCCTTGAAACTGAACCCCCTAAAATCTTAAAACTAAATCCTTTTACCCTTAAGACTGAGCCCTTAAACCCTTGAAACTGAACCTCTAAACCCCTTAAAACTGAATCCTTAAACCCTTGAATATGAGCCTCCCAACCCTTAAAATGAACCCTTAACCTCTTGAAACTCAATTCCTAAACTCTTCAAACTGCACCTCTGAACCCTTAAAGCTTTTAACCCTTAACCCTAGAGAACCCGTGAAGCTGAACCCCTGAACTGGTGCTTTAAGTCATACACAAGAGAACTCCACACCTGTATGGACGGTCATTATTTGTATTAAATGTAAATGGACGTCACCATGTCTTTTTTTTTTTTTCCATCCAGGGTGGTGTACTCCAGGAGCCCCATGAGCACCTCTGCCGTTTGGTTACCTATGGGAAATGTGTACATGGTTTGGAGATTGAGAGACAGAGAGAGAGAGAGAGAGAGAGAGAGAGAGAGAGAGAGAGAGAGAGAGAGAGAGAGAGACTGTCTATCCTACTAACGAAAATATAGCCAGCCATAAGTCTCTCTCCCACAAACAACCACATGAGAAAAAGAATTACATCATGAAAACCAGTAATTTATTCTACCCTTCACCCTTACCTCTGACACTCGGCTGCCTCACTATCACAGCCCCACCACAGCACTGAATTACCACAGTACCACCACCGCACCGCCACACCCCTCCACAAAGGTTAACCAACACTGCTGTTAATCTGATGTGTGCGTGTGTGTGTGTGTATTTTTCCTAGCCACAGTTTCCCATGGTACAGACTTTTCAGAGCTACAGTGGCATACGTGGGAGGGCAATAAGAGTCATGCTGAGAATCGACACACACACACACACACACACACACACACACACACACACACACACACACACACACACACACACACACACACACATACACATACACATAAAGGTGCTTTTTGCTTTTTACTCAAGTTTCCGTGTGTGTTTTTTGTGTTATTGTCGCAAATATATATATATAGTGTGCTAGAAAAAACACTTATAAGTATCTAAGTGATTATACTGCCATAATATTAAGTTATTACTAACCTGGGGATATAGGAGCAGCATGATAATGATACAACATATTATTATGAAGCGTGTGTTGACTCGTGTTTTTGGTACATTATTATTTATATTTTGGTTAAGGCGCCACCTCTGTTAGTCTGCCAACATACATGTATATCTTTTTATAATGTGTGAAGGTGCAGGTGTGTTTATGAGGTCCAGTTCCCAGGGGTGAAGGTCGGGGTGGTAACATTAAGATATCGAGATACTTTTACCTGAAGATGTACCGTATCATGGTCACCGTGACAGCCAACTTCAGGGGCTGTTGTAATACTGGTGGTCCATTGTCGTCTTTGGCAGGAAAAGAAATAAGTCTGCTTATATATATATATATATATATATATATATATATATATATATATATATATATATATATATATATATATATATATATATATATATATATATACATACATACAGTGTATTAGTTATTTATTTATATACTGGGTATGTATTTAGATGTATACACACATACACACATGGGCCGTTTCACTTAACTGAATTATTTAGTGACCAAGATCTATAACTGGGCCGACCCACCATCCTCATCCTAGCCAGCTACCGGAGGCACGGTGGTGCCTTAAAATATTCAGCCAGTAGACGTTAACCAAGGCCCCTGCGGATGCTGCAAGATTCACCTGCTGGGGAAAGAGGATCCACTCCCTCCTTGCGGGAGATCCAACACATAAACCCAAGTTTGCGGAAGTAAAGTAACCACTGTGTATATCATCCAGACTCAAACATCTACTGCGACAACACTCACACTCAAACACTTTGCCTGACAGTACCACTGGCATAACACGACCCTCCATTTCTAGCTACGTGGTTCAGATAAACTGTCATATATGAAGGAAAAATAAAGAGAAAAATTGCATAAACAGAGCGAGTTAGGGGCCAAAAATTCTGCACCTGAGTTCATAATTTCGTTTTAGGAGGTGAAGGGCCAGCAGTATATATTCTTTTACGAGGGGAGACACTCTTAATACTGGGGAGAGGAGCCTTGCCTACACCATTTTTACCCACCGGATTAAAGAAAACCACACATGTATACACTGTTTTACGGTGGTGGAGGAGCGTGTTGTCGTGCTGTGTTGCCGCAGTGTTGTACTGTGTTGACGTGCTGTATTGTCGTACTGTGTTGTCGTGCTGTATTGCCGTGTTGTGTTGCCGTGCTGTGTTGCCGTGCTGCTGTTAACCTCTTCGATGATATAAGAGATAGGGGAGAATACTGTATATAAGCATAGCCGTCCCTAGGATATGGTAACCGGTGCGACCGCCCCGGGCAGCGGCCGCCTGTCCGTGATTTGTGTTTTGTGAAATTGTTGAAATACATTATTTTACTATCGTACTCAGCCCTGTTTTTTTTATTATACCATGGCCAGCAGGGACAGAGACAGTTACAGAAAATACATCTCGGGTGCAGAGAAAAGGAAGAGAGAAGAAATCGAAATATCAATGAAAGGTTCCCTAGAAAAATATGTGCTTTCAAAAACACCAGAAACTAGTGCAAAAAAGGACTGAGCGACTGTGATGGTTATAGTGTGGGTCATACTCAAGCTGAGGAAGAGGAGAGTACTGAACAAATACTTAGGCTTTTAAAATGGACACTACCTTCGCTAACGGTCATGCTGATGAAGATCTATGTGATCCAGGCAACTGACCACATTTACTGGACACTACGACAATTTATATTTTGGTAGAGAAGGGACCTGTTAAGGTATCTAGTGAAAATTATGTGTTTCCCAAAAATATGGTGAAAACCTACACTTTTCAGACGACTTTTGCATGCGAAGATTGTCAAATGGGGGAACATATGAAAGATATATATATTAAGAATGCAAAGGGGCCCCGCAGTGGATGATTTGCCCTGAGCCCCGCACCCCATAGGGACGGCTCTGTATAGTCTGTATATAAGAATACTCTTTTATTAACACACACACACACACACACACACACACACAGATAAAAAAATTTGGGGGGGATATTGTTTACAAATCTTTTACACAAGGAGTTAATATAATTCTATCAATAAAGTAAGTGTATAGGAATCAGTTATGGGGAGGTCTGAGTGTTGGTCTTTGTTCCTGGTAATAAAATTGTCTGAAAGATTGCAGAGAAAAATATCCGTATAATTTTTCTTAGGGCGATTTTAATTATTGATTTTTATATGCGTCAGATGTTATAGGTTATATTTTTGTTAATCTTAATTTTGCTTACACATTTTATTGTATTGAAAGTTCCGATGAATCCAAAACTAACCCAAAATACACTAACTGCTAAGGAAAATTATCACTTATACTCAAATAAATACTTTGAAGAAACGCCAAAAATAATAGCAATCCTAGTTTGGTAATAGTAATAGTCTCCTGTTGATTTTGTTTATCCCAGGATTTCCCAGTATCAGGTAAGGTTGTCCATCTGTCGGTGCCTTTCACTCCTTCCTAGAAAAAAATTAAAAATCTTTCCTCTGTAAAACCTGGGGGAAAAAAATATGCCTTTGATGTTTGTGTTTTTATTGTGATATGTTTGTAAAAGGGAACAACGTTAACTTGGTGTTATTCCTGTTAGTGTTTTGTTTTTTCCGTATTTAGTTACGTCATATATAGCTTAGTTTCCTTATTGTGAATTAGATTTCCTCTTACACTCAAAGAAACAATTATGGTTCCTTGTGTCTTAAGTTCAAAGAAAATGGTTCACTTTTGTTCGTAAGTAAAAAAAAAATAATTAACTTGTAGCGTAAGTTCAAGGGAAAATTGAATTCTTGTGACATAAGTTCAAATCAACTGTTATTTATTGTTTCGTAAATTTGAGATAAATTGCTATTGTCTGTGTCATAAGTTCAAGGTCTTCTCTGGCGTCCCGGGCATGTCAGGCTCCTACGTGTGTCACATCGATTGGCAATTTGGGTAAGATCAGAGCAAATTATTGTTCAGAGTAGACTGATTCTCCGATAAGCGTTGTAATAAACTCTCTCTCTCTCTCTCTCTCTCTCTCTCTCTCTATCAATTCCTTGTTACCTATTTCCCCCCCTCTCGTTTCCTCCACCATTTACTCTTCCCACTCTTCTCCCTCTCCTCTTTCGCTCTCTACCCCACTCACCCCCTCATTCTTTACCCCCACTCACTCACCCTACTCCTTATCCTTATCTTTCCTTTCCTTCTCTCTTCTTCGTCCTCTAGCTTTCTACCTCTCTCCCTTTCCCTCTTTCTACTTTTTACTCTCCCCATTTCACACTCGACCCCTCCCTCCCTTCACCCTTCTCTAACCATCGCTTCACCTCTCACTCTGTCTCTCCCGCCATCTTTCTGCCTCCTCTCACTCTCTCTCCCTCTGCCTCCAACTTTTTTCCTCTCTCCCTCTCCCGCCAACCTTTTCCTCTCCCACTTTACCCTAACTTTCTTCCTCTCTCACTGTCTCCCTCTTTCTCCATATTTTTTCTTCTTTCTCCAACTTTCTTCCTCTCACTCTTTACTCTCACTCTCACTTTCTCCAACTTTCTTCCTCTCACGCTTTCTTCCTCTCTCACTCTCTCTGCACTAAAACGAAATGTAACCTGAATGTTACCTGGGTAATTACTCAAGCAAATAAAATAGCCTTTACTCTACGTTTATTTCCAACACTAAAACACGCTGTTAGAGGATCGGATTCTGGTTAGGGTTGGTTGCTGTACGAACAAAGCCTTGGCAAAGATAGATAGATAGATTGATAGATAGATAGATAGATAGATAGATAGATAGAAAAAGAGAGAGAGAGAGAGAGAGAGAGAGCTGTCAACTCCAGTACCGCGTCAGCCTCAACGAGTGAGTCAGCCTTGAGAAGTGTGTCAGCCTACAGAAGAGTGTCAACCTTGAGTGTGTCAGCATTGAAAGAGTTTTAGTTTTGTGGAAAGTGTCAGTCTTGAGAAGAGTGGCTGCCTTGGGGAGAGTGTCAGTCAGTCTTGAGGAGTGTCAGCCTTGGGGAGAGTGTCAGTCAGTCTTGAGGAGTGTCAGCCTTGGGGAGAGTGTCAGTCAGTCTTGAGGAGTGTCAGCCTTGGGGAGAGTGTCAGTCAGTCTTGAGGAGTGTCAGCCTTGAGGAGAGTGTCAGTCAGTCTTGAGGAGTGTCAGCCTTGGGGAGAGTGTCAGTCAGTCTTGAGGAGTGTCAGCCTTGAGGAGAGTGTCAGTCGGGTCTTGAGGAGTGTCAGCCTTTGTCAGTCTTGAGGAGTGTCAGCCTTGAGGAGAGTGTCAGTCAGTCTTGAGGAGTGTCAGCCTTGAGTGTCAGTCAGTCTTGAGGAGTTGTCAGTCAGTCTTCAGTCTTGAGGAGTCTTGAGGAGGTCAGCCTTGAGGAGAGTGTTAGTCTTCTAATGTAATCCCTCCTACTACCGTTTTCTTCCACTACGGCCAATGACGTCACATAATAAGCTCCACCTCCTGTGCATGGATTGACTTAGTATAATTAGACTTTGGGTCTTAAGAATTCAGACCTGCCCTAAAAAAAAACATGTATTAGACAAATATTTCAACTAGTAAATGGTTAATTTATGCTATTCTTCAGGTGACCAAACAGATTTTTTTTACATAGTTTTCAGCATCACATGTGTCGATAAAAATAATAGTATTATAATATTGGAAACAAAAGATCATTATCACATTTCCAA